GCAACATTATTTATGATGGCAAGAACAGGAAACAAGTTCCCACCTACGAATAGTGAAATATGGTGTCCTGTGTTTATACCATGCACTATAAAGGAACTTTAAGAAAGAAAAAGAAAAGCCACATTGCTTTTGCATGACTTTGTGTTGTTATATATGTGCAGTAAAATGCAGGGATGACTGAATCATCATGCAGTCACATCTTCATAAAGTACTTAGCAAACCCCTCATTTATGCTGTGTGTTTGACTGTGATGCTATAGGCATGGAAAAAAGTGTGATTGCCTGAGAAAAAGAACAAAAAAGGACTAGTGATCAAATAAGGGGCAGAAGGGCTATTGTCAGTGATGAAAAATAGCACCTGTGGGCTGGGCGTGGCATCACAAGCCTTTAATCTTAGCACTTAGGAGGCAGAATGAGGTGGATTTCTGTGAGACTGAGACCAGCCTGGTCTACCTACTGAGTTCCAAGTTAATGGAGGCTACAAGTAGACCCTGTCTCCCCCAAATTAAAGAAAATATGTATATATAATATATTATAATATATAATATATATAATAAGTAAAAAAGAGACATATATATAATGATGTGTGGCAAATTTGACTCATGTTTCCAGTTATTGCTTATAGAAATGTCTGAATGCACCAGAATTCTAAAGATGACTGTTTTGGAATGATAGAATTTGACTTTTTTTTTTTTTAAATCTGAACAGAGTTTTGAGGTGGAGTTTCAGAACCTGGTAGGCATAAAGACTTAAATTTGCTTTTGAGATTTATTTTCATTTTTAATTGTGTGTGTGTAAGGTATGTGCATGCTGGTGCCTCTGTGTGTGTGTGTGTGTGTGTGTGTGTGTGTTGTGAATATGTGTGTACGTGCATGAAGGTGACTGTGATGTGTGCGCAAGTGCATATGTGTATGTGTGCCTATAGAATGTGTGTGTGTGTGTGTGTGTGTGTGTGTGTGTGTGTGTGCGTGCGCATATACATGTGGATGCCTGTGGAGGCCAGTAGAGGGTGGCAGACTTCATGGACTGGAGTTGCAGAAGGTTGTAAGCTGCCTGACTTAGGAGCTTGGACCTGAGCCCAGGTCCTGTGCAAGAGCTGCACCCTCTTAACCACTGAGCCTTCCCTCCAGCCCCAAGACTTAGTAAAGTTATCTTATGAAAAGATGTACTTGGGTCACTTTTAAAAAGAAAATTTGCATGTTTGGTGATGTATTAACTATCTTTTAGTGGCATACATCTCTTTTTACTAACCTTTGTGTTTAAAATATTATAGTACATAAAATCATCCACTTAAGGTGTTCATTTTCCTAAGTCTCTAAACTATAAATGAGTATTAAGCATGGGTGCATGTATATGTATATGTTTATAATTTTCTGATCTTCTAGATTTTAATTTTATCTTCATATTTATAGGTAATTTATTTCTTGAAATTGTTAATAGTTTGTGAGGCAAATGTTCTTTGCTTTCATAGGGAAACTGCATTTTAAGCTATTCCACTACTCTTTACTTATTTTCACTCAAAATTTTATACTTCTAATCTGTAAGCCTTTGATCTCCAGCCAAGTGTATGGTACAGAGTTTTGTGCGTATACTTTATATGTTAATTAACTGAATAATAGCATGTATCTTGCTACATATAGAATATATCTTGCACAATATTCAGAATGTTCATGCCTTTGTTAAGGTTATATCTTTTTATTTTGCACTCTTGGAAATTTCTTGAGAAACACTTTTTATTCTTCTTGTTAATAAATAGCCTTTTTCTACACCAATTAAAGCCGCTCTATTTTTCCTTCAGTAACAGCTTTGCCTCTTGTTCTCTTGTGTTTCTTGTCAGTGTGTCACTTTGACAATGGTGTGTTCCAAAATTAAGATGTTAATTATATTATCTGGTTCAAAGGGAATTAGTTTTTTTAAATAAGATTTGCATACTTAAATGCATTTTGCAAACTTAATAATTAATACTTTATTATACTTTGTGATATTTGGCCATAGATGTAAACAAATGGGAAAAGCAGAGAAAAAACTTTGCATTAAAAATTTCATTTCTTTGAACCTTAACAAATAGATTTTCCATCTCTCTAAATTTATTTTGGGGATTTATAGTCCATCCTTGTTTTCCTCATGTTCTTATTTGTATTGATGTTTTTCAGATGTCTTTTATAAGTTATCATGTTAGCTTGACCCAGGGGAGGTGGTGCAGGATGGATTGCAGTCTGGAGACAAAGGCAGAAAGGATCTGAGTTCTAGTCCAGCCTCAGTTCCATTTTAAAACCTGTGTCAAAAATAAAATGAAGTGTTACTACTGATTACTTTGCCTTTAACTTCAGAGTTTTGGTAAAGAATCAATATGATGGTGATCACTAAAAGTTAATATACATCACCAAGATCTTTACAAACTTACCATGACTTTCTTTGACAATTAGGAAGATAGAAAATCTTGATTCTTTTTGAATTAGATGATTTTACTTTTGTACTTCTCTGCTTTGAACATCCTTCTTCTGTTTTCCTGCTTCTTCTCTCCATCCCTTCTTCCTCCTTCCTTCCCTTTCCCCCTTTCACCCTTTGTCCCTTCCTTTCCTCTCTCCTTTTCCTCCTCTTCCTCCCTCCTTCCATCTCCTCCTTCCTTTTTTTTTTTAAATGCTGTTCAATCAAGGGTTTGAACCAAGGGGCTTGTGGTTGTCAAGTGTTTTGCCTTTTGCTAAGTAGCTATTTCCTTAAAAATTTTGTTTGCCTCTAAACAAAAGAAGCCAAAATTCCCCATTGGTGCTTTTTTTTTTTAAAGAAAAATTATATGGCACAGGCATTTTAGTCCATTTAGAGGTAAATACAATAGCATTTTTAGAAATTAATATTTTAGTCTAAAACCATGATTAATAAACAACTATTTTTGAGTTCATCTGCCAGTGACTTCAGTTTTGCCTGCTCAATTTCTACTTATATACACAAATATTATTTACCTAATCTTAATGAAAGTATATATTCAACTTTGTGTATGTGTGTGTTGTATGTGTGTATATGTGTTCATGTGCATGCATTGTGAATGCAGGTATGCCCATGTGCCTGTAGGCTAGCGATTGACATGAAGTGTCTTCCTTAGTTACTCTCCACCTTTAAGACAGGGTCTTCATTTAACCTTGGACTCACCAGTTTGAGTGGATTGACTGGCTAGACAACTGTGGGGATCTGCGTGTTTCTGCCTCCCTAGCACTGGAGTTAGAGGAATGTGGTGCCCTGCCATCATTTGACCTGGGAGTTGAGGAACCAAGTGAGGTTCTCATGCTTGTGTAGCAAGCGCTTTACCAACTGGTACTCTATCAAACTCTTGATGATTTTAATTTTACCTATGAGATAAAACACTGCCTTTACTAATAAAGACGAAATTAAAAACATATTATTTGCTCATAATACTTCTCTTTAAGCTGAGCTATTTTCAAGTAAACATTCATATTTACAAGTTGTAATCATTTGCACCTGATGTTTCTTTCTTAGTAGATAAACTTCACTGGGAATCTCTATTTTCCCAAAGCTTAGTGCCCTACCAAGTAGTAGTAGCCCTGTTGTTCTTTCCCAATTGCCAGACTTCCCATACATTTTACCTGCCCTCAGTTAAGGTAGAAGATAGAGCTGGACTCTTGTGTCCTGTGAAGCAAGAAGCAGGTTGTTCTGATGGTCTATTTGCAAAGCTCTCCATTCTTTACTATGGAGCCGTTCCAAAGGAAGTCTCTTTACAAAATGTCTTATCTCAGAGCCTGTCATTTCTAATTCCTTTGTTTGTTTGTTCATTTGTTTATTCATCTCTGGGAGGGAGGGTTGTGCATCCCATATGCCACGTGTATATGGTGGTCAGAGGACAGCTTGCAAGATTCGTGTCTTTCCCTCTACCATGTAGGTTCTGGGGATTGAAGTCAGATCATTAGACTTGTGGCAAGCACCTTTACCCGCTGAGCTTTTCTTCCAGTCCTGGTCAGGCTTTAAATTAGCATTGGAAATAGTAATTTTATGGTCATAAATTATTTAATTTTCTTTAAGAACAGACTCTTTATGCCAACATGGTCATATGACACCAGGTAAATTATAGGTTCTATTTTTTTCCCCTAAGATAGGGTCTCTCTATGTACCTCTGAGATCCCACTGTTTCTGCCCCCCTAGTTCTGGGACTAAAGGCCTTCACCAACCATGCCCAGATTTTTTTTTTTTAATGTGTTTTTAAACTATGTGGTATGCATTACCTGAATCTAAGGGTGGGTTAATTATAGCCTTGAGATGTTTATGATTTCTGAGTGTCTTTTACAAGCAAGAATGAAAGACAGTACTTAGTCTGATGGTTGAAGGTTTGAATTTCTTTCACCAGTAGTTGGGGATATGCATATTAATTTTGTGACTAATAATAATAATTATTGTGTATTCTGTAGCTTTTGAGCAGTATCTCTGTTAGCAACTTTTAGTAGTTTTCATGACTGAGAAATAGAAGTGATCTTTGCTTATAATCAAGGTAATAAGGCAAGAGAAATTGGAGACTCACAGTTTTTAGTATAAAACGTAGCTGAATATTTGTAGAGTGACTGTGGAACATGTGGGCATTATCTTTTCATTTGAAGTTTTTAAGGTATAATCATTTTACAGATAATTCCCTAGTGAAGTGTTATCATAAGGAACCTGGTTTCGATTTAAGAAGCCATAATTAGTATATTTCTCAATGATGAGAAATCATTTAGCTTGTGACTACCACGTGATTATTAGTGGGATCTGTTTTCTTAGGAGCCTTATATATATCAGATAACTGGACCAAATGCTAGCTCGGAGGATGGGAGTGGCATTCAGAGTTCTGTACTTACCAGGGGTGTTCACCTCCCCTTACCAAAAGTTTTACCAGGAGTGCAATAGCATAGTTCCAAAATAAAACTGCAAATCCTATTGTTAAATAGTGCTTCTTCATTTGTTTAGAACCTTTCTTTATCTGGGTGAAAATAATTTGATGCATTTTTGCTTCTCTTTTAGGCTCAGTTTATGAACCTCTTAAGAGCATTAATCTTCCAAGACCTGATAATGAAACTCTGTGGGATAAATTGGATCATTATTACAGAATTGGTAAGCACAGCCTGAGGAAATCATGGTAGCTGTGATGAGTATTCACTATTCCTTAGTGACACTGACTATATTATGTTGATGATGTTATTCTGTCATTTGGAGACAGGGTAGTTTCAGTCCTTAGGCAGCTGTATATTCCAGTTATATATCTACACTAGAATCATAAGAGGGAATCCATAGGCCATGTCTGACCCATGAATAATTTTGTGTTACCAACATCTTGTGTTGTTTTAACCTTTCCAGGTATTAATAGATTTCAGAATTTGAGGCTGTTTTTAATATAAATAAATATTTCATATGAGTATTAACTTATTCATTTATCTAGACATAGTTCCCAGGGTGTCCTGAAACTTTTGTTTCCATATCTAATTCATGAGATGAAAGATGTAATCTCAGGTTATAATTATTAATATCAGCTCCTAGAGATATAGTTTGTTTCATTTTGTTTTTCCAGGATGAACTTGGAAAATTTGTTTTTCAATACAAGAAAGCAACTTTGAGACATATTGAATGGGAATCCTCTTTGTTTATCAGTCCATAAATTTGAATTTCTATTGATTTTTTTTTTGAAAGCTTGCTTCTTGTACCATTTATTGTCCTATTATGACAGGGACTTTTCTTTCCCAAATATGTTTTTTTGAGGGTCTATTTCAACCTTACACAAACCTTATTTCAACTGACTGTCATCCACATCTGACATTTATTCTTATGTTGCTTTATGTTATCTTTGTCGCAATAACAATCTATGGAGGACTAATTATAGTTTTTAAAGAAATGTCAACTATTTGCTTTTGCATTGTGGGAAACGATTATTTAACCTGGGAAAAATAGTAGATGCAACTGATATTCTGAAAGAAATGTTTGAGGAAAGATCCGTTTAGTCTGAGACAAAGATGCTGAGTGTGGTGGCACATACCTGGATCTCAGCACACAGGAGGAGAAGGTAGGAAGATCATGAGGTCCAGACTAATGGGGTCTAGACAGTATGACCTTGTTTTATGAAAAAAGCAAACAACAAGATCTATAAGAGCTGGGGGTCGGGAGGTGAAGTGGAAAGATTCCTTTCAGGCATAATAAGGCTTGTAAACGCTTTACTCAGAAGATCTACTCAAGATTTGCCCCCATTAACAACTTGTCATGGAAGAGGGAGCGACTCATGGAACTTTACAGCTCCTGTAGGAGGATTTATACTCATTTGATGAGGGAGGGTGAGACATTTTCTTTACTTGTGTATCTACTTGTAAGGTGCCAGTGTTCCTGTAAGCAAACCCTTACCAGTACTCTTGTAAACAACTCTAATGAAACACATTTGGTCCACCAAAGGGATTGAGGGAGATGTGAAAGTAGAAGGGGACTAGCTGGGAAAGCATAATGGGGTCCTGCTGGTAAATATGATCGAAATACTTTATATACATATATGAAAATGTCATAATGACCCTGTTAAGTATAATTAACATATGCTAATAAAAACATTTTAAAAAATGAAAAAAATAGAAAAACAGGAAAAAAATTGTTATACCTTAATCTGTATTACATTACTGTATCTTGAGGAGAAGCCATCTGCATCCTTTTATACTTACACAGAAATGAAATATCTTTTGGGAAATATAAGAATGTAATTTAGTACATTTATTTTCCTTGATTAGGACTCTGTCAAAGAGAATAAAGCATGAATTTTAGACCTGTATTGTTTATTCTGTTCAAGTAACAATTATTTACTTCGGTCTTCATGCTATATAAAACTGCAGTTTTATTTTTGAAACTTAAATGTATCTATAACCTCTACAGTACAATAAGTAAAATGACCATGAACACCAGGTATTAGAAGTCAGTGAAATATAGGATTCTGGCCCATTCTACGGTCTTTCTTCATCTTGTAGATAATTTACTTTGCTTAATCCCATTTCAATTGAATTTATAACTTAGCAAATCCTTGATATTTAATTTTCTTAGTTTAAGGTTTGCAAAAATAGTATTGTCAGCTCTTTTGACTAATCTTTTTCTTCCCCTGTGCCAAATGTTAGTAAGACTTGTGTCATGTGTTAACATTAACAAACTCATGCCAAACTTTTAAAGCTCTAAGTAGCTGAGTGCTTTCCTCAAAACTATAAAAAACACCTTCACTTGCCAGATGAATTCCCACTTAGACCAGAGTCACATGAATATCTTCAAAAGTTTTATGCTAGATCCAAGTTTAGAAACAAAAACACTGTCAAAAATAGGATAAGGAAACCAAGGAATAGGGGGTTGTCCATTCATTGTTTTATCTTTATTGTAGTCAAGTCAACAATGCTGGTGTATCAAAGCCCAACCACAGGCCTCTTTCCTACTAAAACATATGGTGGAGACCAGAAGTCCAAGATCCACGAAAGTCTGTACTGTGCTGCAGGAACCTGGGCTTTGGCTCTTGCATACAGGTGAGCTGGTGTTTGCTCCTGCAACTCTTAGACAAAGTCAACTAGTTTTGTAGAATTGAGACAAATTGAGCAGCTACGTTTCTGATCTTTGATGATTCTCTATAACTTGTGGCTATTTATGTCAGCTCTTAAGTCTCTAATTTTATAAGGGCTTCCAAAAGATGAGTTCTAATGTGTTATGACTTTAGGATCAACACTTTCGCTTCTAGGTTTCTCTTCCATGTTATTTTTTTTTAAGTTGTTTTTATTTTATGTGTATGTGTGTATTGCCTGCATATAGGTAAGTGCACCTGTGTCGTGCAATGCCAGTGGAAGACAGAAGAGGCTGTTGGATCCCCTGGAACTGGAGTTACAGACAGTTGTTAGCTGCCATGTAGGTGCTGGGATTTGAACCTGGCTCTTATGCAAGAACAGTGTTCTTAATGCTGAGCCATCTCTCTAGCCCCATCTTCCATGTTCTTCTTCTTTTTTTTGGTCTTTTTGAGACAGGATCTCCCTGTAGCCCCTGCTGTCCTCGAACTCACTATGTAGACCAGGCTGACCACAAACTCACAGAGATCCGCCTGCCTCTGCCTCCCAAGTGCTGGGATTAAAGGCATGTGCCACCATACCCAGCGAATATTTTTATTTTTAAGTAATGATTATTTCTCAACTTTTTAAAAAAAGGCATTCAAAATTTAAAAACATGTTTTGCACAGAAAGAACATCTGAATCTACTTTAATACATTTTAGCTCTTATTCTTAAAAGCAACATTTATAAAGTATGGCCACTTGATTTTAAGTTAAAACCTCAGAATGTTAAAGTTCCAGCCCGAATATAGCATGTGTCATTGGATACATATTTAATGGATGATATCTTTAACTGGGGCTCAGTTGCTACCAAGGCCACATTAAAACACATGATAAAACACAAGATATAGGTGTAGGAAAGGACTTTCTAAACCGGACACCAATAGCCCAGGAAACAAGGGCAAGAATTAACAAGTGGGACCTCATTAAACT